CCCTGGTGCTGTCACCAAGGACAAGTAGAGGACTCACCAGAGGGCAGGGAACTGATAATATGCTCTGTAAGGAATTGTGGTTATTCAGCCAAAAAGGGAAGGGCTGTCCAGCTACTCATTCATTCATTCAGCACCTGTTTATCAAGTGCTTTCTCTGCACCAGACACTGTACTCAGTACTGGAGATGTGCTGGCCATCCGGGAAGACATGCTCCAGAACTCAAGCACAGTATGTATCTGTGGACAGAGACAGCCTTCAGACAATTCATGCATTCATTGCACTTTAATAATAACAGCTTCATTAGGCAATATTTACTGAAAAAAAATAGTGACAACTACAAAGAGGGAGGTGCTCTGGCAGCATAGAAGTAGGAAACCTACCCCAGTCTTTAGTGATCAGGCAAAGGTTCCCTGTGCAAGTAACACTTTGGCTAGGAGCAAAAGAGGAGTAAGAATTAGCAATGGGGTAAGGACTTTTGACAAAGGAAATAGCCTGTCCCTGAAGCAGGTAGGAGCCTGGCATTTGCAAAGCAGTCAAAGAAGGGCAGTGGAGAGGTTGTAGAGGAGAGAGGCGGGGAGCAGAGGAGAACACATCTGGGATGATAAGAAGCAGCTGGGGAAGTAGGTAGGTACCAGATTATGCATGTGGATTATATTAGAAGGCTACTGTAGAAACCCAGGGTGGGCATGCTGAGCAAGTGAGGACTAGAGGAAGGGTAGTGAATTCAAGAGTATGAAATGGTCAGGATGTAATGGACCTGACACGGGCACGGACAAAGCAGGAGGGCACAGAGATCATTCAGTAAAGATATATTGACCTCCTTCAATAGGCAGGCCCTGTGCTGGGATCCGAGTGCACAATAATGAAAAATAGAGTGTCCAGGCGAGGATGATTCTCAGGATTCTGTTATCACCAACTGGGTGGTTTACAAAGTCACCAAGGATTGAGAAGCCAAATTGTGGGGAAGATAAATTCTGGATGTTGCATATGAGGGGCGCTGACTTGTATAACCAATTTCCTTCTCAATTGTCTCTCCATTGTGATGATGGAGAGACATCCATTAGAGAGAACTCCATTGTGATGATGGAGAGACAATTGAGAGGGAAACTGGTTATACAAGTCGGGGACTCAAGAGAGAGGTCCCATCTGGTGATACAAATGCAGGCATCATTGGGTTCAAGATAGTCGTTGGAACCACGGGAGTGAATAAGACCCCTGATGTTACACAGAGTTTGTGACCACTCATTTTGTTTCTCAACAGAATTCAGAGAAATAGGATTGAGCTGTATATCAGAAGTCATTTAAAATATCGATATATTTATTCATCACAGGAATGATTCAGCCTAAGGCTAACTGGTCTTATATATGTTCCTGGGAGTTAAATGACTAAGGTACATAGATCCTCTTACCTGGAAGTTCTAGGACATGGGCCCCAGTGACAACACCAGGTTGTCAAGTTTTCACCATGACAAGTCAAGGTTTCAGCAATGGCTTGGGAGTTTGGTAATATTTGCAAATAGTACCTGGAAAACATTCAGTGGAAAAGATGCTTCCAAGTGCACACACCACACACACACGCACACATATTATGGCCTTTGTGTATTGGCTTAAAAGAATCCTAAAGAATCCTAAACTGTTAAGCTAATTCAGTAAGAAATGACAGAGTGGTCACTTCTTTTTTTGAATTCATGTAAACATGGAACAGACACACTAAGTGTTACAGTAAAGCTCAAGATAACAGTGACATAGATGATCATTACCTGTATAGTTTGCTCTGTTCCCTCTAAATAAAATGCGAAGGGGAGAAAACTGTTTTCATATCTAAATCGTGCTCCCAAGCAGAAGAATTTCAAAGAGTGAATCAGCTAGTTACATAACAATACCAAGTTAACTGCATTGCAGTTCTGATGTTTTCTCCATTGTTCTGTAAGTCCATACTATTTAGAAGACCACTTTGATTCTGACTTTTTGCCTGTCAGAACTTTACTTTCAAGGGAAAGACATTTACACCCAGGAGATCCTTCCTTCAGGGTGTCTGAAGTCTCCTAACTTACGGAGCCCGCTGCAGCAGCCCTGCAGCAGGGACCCTGTGGGATTGTATAGGTTATGTACTACACAACCTTAGGGATGCTGTTTTCATAGGCTGGGGTTTTACACTGTGCAACCTGCACGGTTAGTTGTAAAGACACCTGCCAAAAATCCCCAGTTAACTCCTCCACATTTACAGCTGCATTTTAGGGCCAATAGCTTTGTACCCTCAGGAGATGGGAAGCCAGGATAAGGGGAAACAGAAGTAATGAGATGTGTGGAAGAGGAAGCAGGGATTAGCTCTTTTCAGTAGAAACTGCAGTTAATCATTAATACCTTATTGCTGCTTTGATTTAACCTTTTGTCTTCCTTGAAAAGGAAAATGAGTTATCTATAAAGAAGCTTATTTTGTCTAAAGTGACGGTTATTTTAAGACAGAGAAGAAGCAGGAGAAGTTGGACAAATACATTATTTTTTATTCCTCCAAATACATTATAAATACATTGTTTGGTATAAATATATTGCTTGTCTTAGAAAGAAAATTAATACAAAACAAATTTAAGTAAGCTTAGTAGTCAGCCCACATATCTACAAATGACTTCCTTTCAAAGATTCCTTACATTTTGCAGCCTTTGTTTTAACATTTTTTGAAGGTTTATATATTATAATCCTTATTGTAGATTATACAATGAGAAAATAATACAGCGGACTAATGCAACTGGCTGATAATTTAATCTGAAATTTTGAAATCACTTGGAAAATCTAACATGACTGTATCCAAATTTTAAATAGTCACTTTCAGCAACACACACACCTTCACCAATGTCGAGTGATTCAAAGAAGGGGAAAAACAACTCCTTTGGTTGTCATTTTATTTACAGGATTTGTCTGCACAGCAGAGAAAAATGTTCCATTTACTTCAGAGACGGTCAGAGATTTCCAAGCCATTTGGCTCAAGAGATGGTTTAAATAGGAATGAATGTAGTATACCTTTAATTCTCTGAAGTAAGAGAACTCCAGCTGAGGTTTGGTCCAGGGCACAGTCTGCTCTCAACACTGAAGAAAATCTATCACATTAATCCCAGTGGCTCAGAGTCCAAAGCTGCGTGAACAGAATACTCAAGGATAGGAAGTGTGAGAAGAATGCTTTGAAAGAAACTTTAAAAACAAAACGACTATTCAGAGAATACCAGGTCTTATGTGGAATCATCTAGCACGTAAGGAAAGATATAAATAATTATGCCTGAGAAACATAACTAATTAAAAATAACTCTATGCATAAAAGGAAAACTATAGAATAACTTTTCTGCTCCAGTGTTAATGTGAGATGCCTCATAATGAAATAGTAGGATTTTTTTTTTTTCATTTCATTTCACACAGACACATGAGAGATGGAGAGGAAAATTATATTGCCTGAAAATGCCAGGGTAGATTTACTAAAGATGTTATCATATGCTATATTTAAGACAAAAATCTAATTGCTGTAATTTATCATACCTCTGGCTATTAAAACTGTGCCAATTTAAATATTTTAATCATCTGCCACTTTTGTACATAGTGACTTTTTATAGAAGATTCTATGAAACATTCTGATTTTGTCAGCCTTTGTATGATTTTTAGGAGCTCCTTAAGTAGAATGAACATGCTTTAAACATGTAGTTGTGTTTCCATAAGTAATAAAAATTCCTTGTGTTTTTCTTTTAGTTTGTTCAGTAAAATACCTGGAACTGCTTTATAACTGCTTTATAAATGTTTGAGAGCACAAGCTGCTAAATCCCTTTTATTTTATTTTATTTTATTTTTTTCTGAGACAGACTGTTGCTCTGTCACCTAGGCTGGAGTGCAGTGGCGTGATCTCGGTTCACTTCAACCTCTGCCTCCGGGGTTCAAGTGATTCTCCTGCCTCAGCTTCCTGGGTAGCTGGGACTACAGGCTCGTGCCACCACACCTGGCTAATTTTTGCATTTTTAGTAGAGACAAGGTTGTTCACCATGTTGGCCAGGCTGGTCTCGAACTCCTGACCTCAAATGATTGGCCCGCCTCTGCCTCCTAAGGTGCCGGCATTACAGGCGTGAGCCACTGCACCTGGCCTGAATCCCTTTTAATTCCCTGCACACACATCAAGCTTGTAGAAAGCAAGGTGGACCACACCCTTCCTTTTGGTTTAGAGAGAAGATTATTTTAATGATCAGTTAAATTTTTGAATAAAAATTACTCCACTGACTGACATGAATTTGCACCTTGGTCTTGAAAAGTCAGAGACTCAAAAGACAGTCATGGAGGCAAAACTGCTCTTTAAAAAACAAACATTAAATAGTACTCTTTCTGGATGGTGGAAGAAAAGGTGGTAAGAAAGTGATCTTACAGTATAGAAGAAAAAAGTATCCCAGGAGTAAAGATGGCCACTACAGGGAGAAAGAATGGAGGAAAGACAGCAAATGTGGAGAGAGAAGGAGCTGGAGGCAGATTCCTTTCCCTGCTGTGGGTGTGGGAGGCCTTTGGGAAATCTAACCCATTTCAGCAGAACACATGGGCTGCATCCGGTTGTCCCCACCCTGGGAGCCGCTCTGTGTTTTCATCTGGTTTTGTGTACCTGGTGAGACCACACTATCTTACATACCAGAGGACTCATGAGAGCAGCATTATGACTAAATCCTGTCTGTGTGTATTAAAACATAGCATTATTTCAAAGTTAAATATACATATATAAGTTTCCTAAATCACAAGAAACCAGGGCTTCTTCCCCCCTTTATTGAGGTATTAAGGTGCTTTGAGCTGGATTCCTTAGGGTCACACAGCCAAGACCAGACCCTACATCTTCCCAATCCCAGCCCATTCCTGCTTCACCTCCTTTCTGTTCTCCCCTCTAAACCTGCTCTCATGAAAGTAGTTTGCACGTGCCTTTCCCTCGCACACCCCATGCCCAGTGCAGCACCCTCTGCCTGATGAATAACCAGGTGTTCATTCTGCAGGTGCAAAATTCCCCATCAAGTGGACGGCCCCCGAGGCAGCCCTGTACGGGAGGTTCACAATCAAGTCTGACGTGTGGTCTTTTGGAATCTTACTCACAGAGCTGGTCACCAAAGGAAGAGTGCCATACCCAGGTAAGAGCAGAGCCTCGCAGACGTGGGCCTGGGATTGGAGGCTTTTTTGACACCATTTGGGGAAACTTCATCCACTTTGCTTTCTAAGCCCCATCCTCAGCTTTCTGCTGAGCTTGAGTTTGAAGAACACGGCCAGGTATTCAGCCAGAGAAAAGCAGAACTGGGAGCCACCATGTATGTAGACAAGCAGCCACCATGAACTGTGTGTCAGGATTAATGTAAGTAGCAGCTGGTCTAAATGCTTCAGTCCCCTTCCAGTTCATAGAATCCCTCCTGTCTCAGTAGGAGTATGTGTCTGTGGTTCCCAGAGCAGAAATGTCACTGGCAGTGCCTCTGCCCAAATGGAGTTTGCAGACATGTCTGGGAAAGAGAAGGAGAAAAGCCCCACTGCTTTTTGATTACACTGTAGCACTGACCCATGGAGTGAGCCTGGGAGGAACATGCCAGGACCTGTTCTCTCCGCAGGACCCAGCTCCAGATGGCCAAAGAGAGCAGAGGCACATGCGAAGTGCAATTTAGAGCCACTCGCTGCCTGTTGCTGAACAGTCAAAACATGTGATAGCAAAGCAAGTCTAATGTAAAGAAATCGGAAATTCTTAGACTCTGGAATGTTTCTGGATTATCAGACTGATGCTTTCCAAAGGAAGCACGAGTTTGGGTTATCCATGCTTAAATTGATGAACGTCGACAGATGGTGACATAAAGGACACCCATGCCATTTCACCTCCACGCTTTAGTGGTTACAGCACAGGGACGATCTGCTTTTTTGAAATGTTAAGGACGTATTTTTCAGTTACTGCTGAGTGAAGAGAGAACATAGCTCCCCCTCATTCTCTGCCTAAGAAAGGAGCTTAAAGGAAAAAAACAAACAAGAAAAAAAAAAACAGTGATAGAAACGATAGTGAAGATTAATGAGGAATTTAGGTCTCCTGCAAATTCTGGGTTTGTAATCATATCTTTGCAGTCAGAGGAGCCAGCGAAGGCAGATTAATTTCTAATCCCTTTGTTCCTTTTTTATGATTGTTTCTGGTCATCTTCAGAGAACACAGAGAGGGGCGCATCAAGATAATCTCGTTCTGGGTTGGTGTAGCCTTGAGACTCCTAGGAGAGCCAGGTTGACATGGAGGCAAAATTGACAAATTCCCGGTCTCTGAAGTGCCGGCACTGGGCGTTTAGAGATGCGGGTGTAAGTCAGTTTTATTGATGCTGCAGTGACTGCTGCTGCCGGCTTGCACACACGGGCAGACACTCCAGGAATCGCCAACCAGCACAGAAGAAAGGGCTGCCCTGGGGGATGGAGCATAGCGTGGGTGTTTCTGAATCGCTTCTCAAAGGGGGACATGTGTGGGTCTTGGGACGGTGAAGATGTGCAGGCGTCTCTTCTTTATTTCTTGTCTGAATTTTGAGCTGATTTCTTCCTGATCCCCCCAGGTTTATAGTCACCCTGTGTGTTAAATGCAGTCAGGGAGGAAAGGTTAATGTTGTTTGCGTTGCTGTGAAGCCTTCCCTTGCAGTAAATACAAAGCAGCTTTTTGTTACTCAGAATCTCACACAGAAACCAAGACAAAGGGCTGGAGCGGCGGTGGGGGGAGCCTGGGAGAAGGAAGGCAGGTGCGTGTTTCTCAGGCAGCCTTTTGTCAGGTTTGCTTTTAGCATAAAGAAAATGGCCTCATTTTAACTCTTAGACCAGGATTCATTCATTCAGCGTAGCTTCAGTCACTGTGAACTGTGCCAGGCATTTTCCTCTATCCAGGAAATACTGCAAATAAGACCTTCATACTCTCAGCAAGCCTTGATTAGTACCTGCCTCAGGCTAGGCATTGTCAGCACAGTGGGCAAGTAAATACATTTAGCCCCTGTGTTCGTGGGCATTACAGTCAGATAGATAAAATATGCATCAAATCCAGGGAGAAACCAGCCTTCTTTATTCCTGGTTTATTATTAGAGGGAGTCATCCTGAAGGGATGGATTACTTGGCTTTACCTACTATGGGGCCTAGGTCTTCATTCTCATAATGGGGTCAGGGACACCTGATCCAGGTATCCACACACAGCGGGTCTGAGAGGGACTCTTCATGCCGAGTCCTGTGAGGATGGCAGAGGAGTCTGAAGTGAGAACTAACTCCAGCGGCTCCTGCAGAGAGAGCTGTGAGCAAGTGCTGGTCTGCAGTGGGCTGTGGGAACTGCCTCTAGCTCTGGAGGAGTGCTGGAGAGAGGGGGCTGTGTAAGGAAGGCAAGTAAGCCAGACCTTGGAAGGCAAGCAGGGTTTCCTCAAACCCAGAAAGTGGGAAAGCATCCCAAGGTCTGGCACGTGGGAAGGCACGTAGGCCTGGGAGGGCCGTTCCAGGGATCACAGGATGAATCTGAGAAGATGCCACGTGCAGGGACACACCTGGAGATGTGGCTGGAAAGGTGGCCGAGAGCCTGCGTTGGGGCCTCGCTGGTTGGCAGTGGTGACCAGGGAACTGTGTCCTCATTGGGGGTGTCATGAGCTGGTCCTCATTCAAAGAAAACCACAAAAAATTGTCCCCCGGCCTGTTCCTACTCATGCGTTCTTTCTGGGTTTTGTTTTTTAACATAGCTATAATCCTGTTTAATTGGGTTTGTGAATCCAACAGAAAACTCCCCTTGAGGGAGAAGCTTTTACAGAGGGATTCCAGTTACAGGATTATTATCCTAACGAAGGATAATATTTCCTAAGGAATAAGAGGTTTCACGAAGCTTCCTTCAGATGTCACTGTGAAAACAAAGAAGGACCTTCCTCTCTGCATTCTTGCTATTTGTTGGTGTGGCAAGTCAGTCAGTGTACGCTGAGGGCTCACTTCTTAACTTCCCATGTTGTGTCTTTGTGCCTGTTGCTAGTACCCCAGGACAGACTCCGAGTCCCGGTCCGTCATGATTTCCATTCTGCATTTTGATGCAGTAGTCATGTCTCGACTGGCTAGAGTATATTTTCAAGTAATGCTTTTTTGGAGAACAGTAGATGGTGGTACATTTTTCTGAGTCTTCCATACCTGAGAAGAGCCTGCTGTTTCCTTGACACATAAGAAAGGTCCTTTGGCTGGTAGGTGAAGATGGAGGTGCAGGAGAAGGAGGTGACTTATAAATCGGTTTTATAAAAGCTTTCCAGGCATCTTTGCCCAGCGTGAAAGAAGGCCCAGAAGTGCCAATCCCAGAAGGAACTTATGTTGGAGTATGTGAGGTGTGACCAAATAAAGGGCAAAGGGAGGCGGAGATGATAGAACATTGGCAAGTTGTGTGAGAGGAATGGACAAAAAGGAAGGGAAGAGGACAGTCTCAAACTGAATGAGAACCTTGAAGCCGAAGGAGAAAAAAATACTGAAATACGATGCTGAGATTAACAGGGGGGTGGTGGAGAAAAGTTACATCACCTTACCAGATGAGGAAGGTTGCTTTCAAGATGTGTAACAAGTATGGATGCAGTTCCAAGGAAGAGCTCCATCAGTTTCCTGCTAACAGCCTGACCAAAATGCATTCTCTGCATTGCAGGCTAGCTTGCTTTTCTGCAAGCAAGGGTTCAGGAGCATTCTTTACCTCAAGATTAGAACTGATTTCATACTGATGGATTGTTGTGTATGAGAAATAAAAACACTTAAATAAAAGCAGTTTTCTGGGGTGGATGCATAAAATCAGAGTTATGCATTTTTACCTGTCATTTCACCTTTAAAACCGTTCTCAAATCCTTCTTTTCCTCTCTGCTTCCGGTTTCTCCCCGCCTCCCCACCACCCACCCACCATTCTACCATTGTCGCCAGCAGAGTTAGTATCCCAGAAAACACAGACCTGGTTATCTCACCCTGCTAGTTAAAAACGTCCACGGCTTCCCTTTGCCTTCCAGATAAATCCTAGAAACCGTAATTTTACATAGTTCTTTATAACTATTTTTCTGCAGTCATTCCACAAATATTTATTGCGTACCTACTACATGCCAGGTACTGTTGCAGGCACCAGGAATACAGCAGTGAAGCAACAGACAAATGCTGCTGCCCTCATAGACTTCCATTCTTCTTTGAGGAGACAAACAATAAACAAAGATAAAGAAGCAAAATATAGCTAGTAACAGCTAGGGAGAAAAATAAAACAGGGAAGGGGAGAGAGAGGAGAGTGGCAAAGGAGCACCTCACTGGTCAGTAAAGACCTGAAGGAAGCAAGAATCGAGCCAGGTGGGTATCTGGGAGCAGAGCCTTCCATCAGGGGAAGGGGAGAGTGCAGAGACCCCCCCCCAGAACCACAGGCGGCTAGCATGGCTGCAGCAGAAGGAGCAGGAGGTCCCAGCAGCCCCAGGGGCAAATCAGATAAGGCCTTTCTAGCTCATGGTTGGAATTTTTGCTTTTACTCTTAGTGAGATGGGAAGTGAGGGGATTTGAGCAGGCGAGTGACATGATGTGACATGATTTCTCTCTTGCTGTCTTCCATCCTTCACACGTTACCCAAGACACATCAAGAGATCTCTCTTGAACATGCAAGCCTCTCTTTGTGGCTCCTCTGTCTGCCTGAGAACCCTTCAAAGCCCAGCTGAACATCATCTGCTTTGGAAAGCCTTCCCCATGTCCAGACCAAATGGGGTGCTCCCTCTGCTTGCCTCCATGACACCTAGCGTATTTCTGTTGGGCCCCCTGTTTGTGTGTCTGTATTTCTCAGTAGCTTCAGAGAAGGGAGTTCCTTTGATGGGTTCCCAAGGCCCAGCACGGGTCCACCCCATAGTAGACTCTCGGTAAGTATAAGCAAATAAATGAGTGAATGAGACAGAAAAAAAAGAACTCACCTATGAGGTTTTTGAAAGAAGGTTTTAAATTTTAGCCCGTGGCCCGCAAAGCCTTTTAACTGTATTCCATTATCTTCACACATAGATACATATTTTCCCAGCCACAAGGTAGCCTCTGTCCTCAAAGTTGTTCTGGAAAGTTGACCCTGTGATCATTTCAAACATCATGTTCCAACACTATTCTAGGCAAAGTGTCCTGGCCGTTCTGTGCCCTG